CCGGCCCCGCCCCACAGCCCCGCGCGTGCCCGTCCCAGATTCCTCCGCGCGCAGCCCTAATACAGCCCCGAGGGAGATGCCGTGCACGCCGGTCCCGACCTCCCCGGCGCACAACCCAGACTCCGCCCCGCGTCGCCGCGTACGCCGGTCCCGGCTTCCCCCGCGCGCAGTCCTGGCCCCGCCCCGCGGCGCCGCGCACCCCTATCCCGGCTTCCCCCGCGCGGCGAGTCAGGGCGGAGCGAGCGGGCTCATCCTGGAGTCGGAAAGCCAAGCCTCTCCCACCCGCCCGGCGCGGTATCCCGGGGGCGCCATGGAGCCCCGGGTGGTTGCGGATGCTGTGGAGACGGGAGAGGAGGATGTGATTATGGAGGCTCTGCGCACGTACAACCGGGAGGTGAGCGAGAGCCGTGAACGTGGTACACGAAAGAAGAGGTGGGGCAGGGTGGGGCGCGAGCGCGGCGGGCGGGGCGCCGAGTCGGTGAGGAGTTGCTACCGGGAGAGAGTCCGGGTGCGCTCGCCGCTGGGCGGGTGGGGCGGGCCGCCGTCTGTTTCCCATCCACGGAGCGCGGGTCCTGCCTGGTGTGGATCTGTGCCCCTGAGCCCCTGGGTCTCTCTGCAGAACTCCCAGAGTTTCACGTTTGATGATGCCCAACAGGAGGACAGGAAGGTGGGTGCTGACCGAGGGGTAAAGGGGAAGGGATGGGCGGTCCCGGGAAAAGGGGCCTGGTGGAGCCGCTCTTCTTCCTGCCCACAGAGACTGGCGGAGCTGCTGGTCGCGGTTCTGGAGCGGGGCTTGCCACCGTCCCGCCGCGTCACCTGGCTGCAGAGCATCCGCATCCTGACCAGAGACCGCAGCTGCCTGGAGCCTTTCACCAGCCGCCAGAGCCTGCAGGCACTTGCCTCCTATGCTGGCATCGCCTTGGAGGGGTCCGTCCCTGAGCCTCTGGACATGGACGTTGTACTCGAGTCCCTTAAGTGCCTGTGCAACCTCGTGCTCAGCAGCCCGGTGGCACAGGTGCTGGCCGCAGAAGCCCGCCTAGTGGTGAGGCTCGCAGAGCGTGTGGGGCTGTATCACAAGAGCAGCTTCCCACACGAAGTCCAGTTTTTTGACTTGCGCCTCCTCTTCCTGCTCACGGCACTTCGCACTGATGCGCGCCAGCAGCTGTTTCAGGAGTTGCAGGGGGTGCGCCTGCTGACTGCTGCCTTGGAGCTGACACTGGGAATGACCCCTGATGGGGGCCCTCCTGAGCTCCTTCCTCCCCAGGAGACTGAGCGGGCCATGGAGATCCTCAAAGTGCTCTTCAACATCACCTTTGACTCCATTAAGAGGGAAGTGGATGAGGTGAGGGCTGACCTGAGTCCGTGGGTAGAGTTTAGCAGTGTGGACGTTTCCTGGATCTGTCTGCCTGTAGGAATACTGGCAAGTTTCTGGGCATCAGATGGGGAGAGGGCAGGTGGAGCTCTTAGCTTATCGGGAGGAGGCAAGGAGATGCACGTTTTGGGCAGGGAGCCTTGGAGAAGATTTCTGAGAGAGGTGGAGGGCATGTCTGGCTCTTCCAGCCTAGCAGGAGGGCTGTTTGGTGCGTGGGGAGGCTGTAGGAGATTTCCCACCATGAGGCCATGACCATGTGGCTAGAGTACTCTGTGACTTCATCCCAAGAGGACTTAGTGACGTTCTTGATCACAGAAACACTCTGAAGGTAGAGTAGAAGAGGGCAAGTAGAGGAGATGCATGGTCTCTGCACATGATCCTGGAGCGGTGCTTCCTCTCACAAGAACACCTTTCTTTTTGGTCAGGAAGATGCTGCCCTTTATCGGCACCTGGGGACTATCCTGCGGCACTGTATGATGGTCGCTGCTGCTGGAGACCGCACAGAAGAGTTTCACGGGTGAGGGTGCGGCCTCTCGAGATGGAAGGGAAGTGTGTTCGCGTGTCTGAACAGTGCTTCCCAGCTCTGGCTGTGGGCTAGGCTCCACCCTAGAGAGTCTTCATCTGTCTGGCTGGGAGCAGACATCAGTGTGTCTCTACAGTACTACGTGATCAGGACAAGTGTCTGGATCTGCGGACAGGAACGTGTCCCTGGAACTTGGGTGGTAGCAACAGGCAGTGTGGTATCTACAGGGCAACGTGGTTACTCACCTCTCTTCTCCATGACCTGTGTTTAGGCAGGTTCTGGCTTGCTTTTTTTTTTAAATTTTTTTTCTAATGTTTATTTATCTTTGAGAGACAGAGCACGAGCAGGGGAGGTGAGAGCGAGAGGGAGACACAGTATCTGAAGCAGGCTCCAGGCTCCCAGCTGTCAGCACAGAGCCCGATGTGGGGCTTGAACTCACAAACTGTGAGATCATGACCTGAGCTGAAGCCGGACGCTTGACTGACTGAGCCACCCAGGCGCCCTCAGGTTCTGGCTTTCAAGAGTGTCTGTGGTGCTTCAACCCAGACAGAGGGTGCCCCTTTCCTTGGGAACTCACCCCACTGAGTGGGATGAGCCTCTGAGGTTAGTCCTACTCTAAGTTCTGGCCTCTTGCTGGCCATTAAGTCCCTGGACGCTAGTTCACATCACATGTGGCCTCTGCAGGGGGCACCAAGGGTTGTACTTGTGCAGGGGGACCAGACTTACCAAGCCCCTCTCCCCCATCTGTCTTCAGCCACACAGTGAATCTCTTGGGAAATTTGCCCCTCAAGTGTCTGGACGTCCTTCTTACCCTGGAGCCACACGAAGGTTCCCTGGAGTTCCTGGGAGCAAACATGGATGTGATTCATGTCCTCCTCAGCTTCCTAGAAAAGCGTCTGCACCAGGTGGGCAGAGGGACCTACCGTGTGGGTACCTCAGTGGCTCTGACTTTCCCCAGCAGCTGTGGTCCGTGCTTTTTCACGGTACCCACTGGTAAGTGGAGATCAGCCTGACAGTGTGAGTCAGGCAATTTCTCCATCTGCTCTGTGGTCCAGCCACCAGACTCCTCCTCCCTGAGAAATACGGGGACCCTCACACACATATTTGAAGGTTTTCATTTCGTTGGTTATCACGCGTTTTAAAACAAAGTACTTACCTTTTAGATCTCTTTGTGGATCTCTTTTGAGTGATCTGAGAAGTCCCCAGCCCTTGCTTGTGACTGTAGAACTTCAGTGTTGCTGCACACAGGTGGCCCGTGGGAACAAGCATCCCTGCAGGGACCCACAGGCATCTTGAGCCAGAGGCTCCCTGGTTCTTGGGCCTGCACACAGGACATTGGCCAGACCTCTGACCAGCTTCTCTGGGAGCTTGCAGACATCACACAAGCTACAGAGTGCAAGGGAGTGGGATTAGATGGACACCTCCAGAATCCACATCGCGCATATATGCTGTGAGCTGGAGTACAAACGCCTGGCGTTGGATGTGATGGCTGTGACTGTCCCTACCACTGCTGCTGCTGGGGTTGGGGTCCAGGGAGATAACTCAGGAGAAGGCCGGGGAAGGACAGGAGCTCTCTGGATCCATGAAGCTCACAGAGTAGAGATTTTCTTTTTGTGTTCTGGCTGTTGTTTTCTGAGGACAGGTCATGTGCCAGTGGTGTGCTAATAACTGAATGCTCTGTATTTCCCGTGCGACCTTGGTATGTAGGCGAGGAAGTGAGAGCAGATGAGTTATTTGCCCCAGGTCACAGAGCATGTGAGTGTATCCTAAGTTAAGTTCCATTTGTGGCCCTCTTGAAAGTCACACAAATTCACAAGAATGTGCCCAGTCTTGGCCCCTCAGCTGACTAATCAGGGCAAGGCCACTTCCTGAGCGCCTCCTGCCAGGACCGTCTGGTGTGCGTGTGTTTGCCCCCCCCCCCCACTTCAAGTCAGGTGGGGGCACAGCCCCGGTGACAGAGGCTCCTCTGCAGACGCACAGGCTGAAAGAGAGCGTGGCCCCCGTGCTGAGCGTGCTGACGGAGTGTGCCCGCATGCACCGCCCTGCAAGGAAGTTCCTGAAGGCCCAGGTATGGGGCACAGGGCCGGGGCGGGACCCTGCTTACAGACCCCAGCTGCTGCAGGCCCAGGCTGAGGGATGGCTGCCTCCCCAGGTGCTGCCCCCACTGCGGGACGTGAGGACGCGGCCCGAGGTCGGGGAGCTGTTGCGGAACAAGCTTGTTCGCCTCATGACGCACCTGGATACTGATGTGAAGAGAGTGGCAGCTGAGTTCCTGTTTGTCCTGTGCTCGGAGAGTGGTGAGTGGCAGGATCTGGCCCAGCGCCTATCCCTCCCAGCCACCTCACACACTGATCTCTGCCCTGCTTCTCAGTGCCCCGATTCATCAAGTACACGGGCTACGGGAATGCTGCTGGCCTCCTGGCTGCCAGGGGCCTCATGGCTGGGGGCCGGCCTGAGGGCCAGTATTCGGAGGACGAGGACACGGACACAGAGGAGTACAAAGAAGCCAAGGCCAGGTGTGTGCCCCTACACCCTCGGCTCCTCTCACTTACCCTGGTCCCTGTTCCCACACCCATATGGACTCGCAGGGTGGGTGGGACAAGATGACAGATGGCTGAACTTTTTGGGAGTCAGGCACTGGTCGCATAAGTAACCTATCTTGATGTCAGGATGTTTTGTGAGTGTGGGCTGAGTGGGGCCAGGCAGTCGGGGGACCAGGATATCCCCCGAGCAGGGGCTGGGTCCTTGCTGCTCCTGGAAAGAGCCCTCTTGTGGCTGCCCTGCTTCCACCCACCCCATGCAGCCGCCTCCTGTCCTAGAGAGTCGCTAATGCATTCCCCACAATCCCTCCCCTGGGAAGCAGCATAAACCCAGTGACCGGGAGGGTGGAGGAAGAACCGCCCAACCCCATGGAGGGCATGACAGAGGAGCAGAAGGAACATGAGGCCATGAAGCTGGTGAACATGTTTGACAAGCTCTCCAGGTACGTGTTGTGTCAAGGAGGGGCCCACAGCTGGGAGAAGGGGGAACAGAAGCCCAGGACCCGTGTCCGGTCCTGTGAGCGCCAGGAAGTGGGGTTAAAGTTGGGCTTAGCAAGGCTGTGTCGGAAACAGGAAATGCCCCAGGAAAGGATTAGACTTGAGGTTGGTATTACATTTGTTTCGTAGATGACAAAAATTGAGACCTGGAGAAATAAGAATTCTAGAGTGCATAAGGTCTCAAAGCCACTGGGTAGCAGTTTGGATTCAGGCCTGTTTGGCCAGGGGTGAACCCGACTTCTGCCCCACATGCCGTGCCCCTTCCCCACCATGCTTTTCCCCCACAGGCACAGAGTCATCCAGCCTATGGGGATGAGTCCCCGGGGTCAGCTCACATCCCTGCAGGATGCCATTTGTGAGACCATGGAAGGGCAGCTCTCCTCGGAACCCGACTCAGACCCCGACTGAGGACACCCACTCTTCTGTTCCCCCTTCAGAACTGGTGCTGCTTCCAGAGATGGCCTTGGGACTGTGACCCAGGGAAGCCATGCTTGGAGACCCTTTTCTCTTTACTTCCAAAGTTCTGTTAATGGTTTGTCTCTGGTCCAATTTCTTATCTTTAGGACTGTGAGGGCCTGGTCCTGCTGCAACTCTGGGAACTCCACCATGATCTCCACAGATGAGGTGGTCTTGTGTGCCAAGAGGATGTGTGCAGAGGCTGCTGCCTGGGGGCAGGAGCTGAGCATGGGCACATGCACAGGCAAGCATGTCCAGGGCTGGCATACCGGCCCAGAGCTTCTGTGTCAGGCAGGCGCTGCAGCTAACAGGAAAAGAACTTGCTAGGACCCTGTATCCTAATGTCAGAAACATACTTTCAAGGTATGCTCTATTTCTGTCCCCACTGAGCTCAGGACTGGGAGCCTCCTGTGCGTTCTTGGTCCTCGCTCAGCACTCTACTGTAAGTGTCCACAGCAGCCAAGCTCTCATTGGTTGTGACAGTGGAATCCTGGCCTTCCCACTGGCGTAGACAAATACACGAAGGGAAACGCACCTCGTCAAACCACAAGTCTGGATTTCTGTCGTGTACCACAAAGCATCACTGAAATATCTTGGAATAAAGAGTTTCGAGCAAGAATGTGTGTGAGGAATTAATTTCATTGTTCTCAGAATTCAGTCCTTTTCCTAGATCATCATTCATGTCTTTTGTTCTTGTGGAGGCCACCAGACCCTCTCTGAGGACTCTCTTAAACGCGTGGCAGCTGGTGAAACAGCGCCCAAGGGAGCACACGCAGGGTGGGAGCCAGGGGTCAGGATGATGTGCCTGGCGGTGCTATCCATGCTGGGCCTTGGGGCAACCCCAGCAGAAGGGGCCTGTGCAGGTGCAGGAAGTATGGCCTGAGAACATGTCTGGCTGGGGACCAGCCAAGGTTTCTAAATGACTTAAGGCCTTCCATAACTTAGATGTTAATCCTAGAGGCATTATTGGGAAGGCCTGGTGGAGAGTGGGGACGGGGTGGTTAGATGCCGGAGCAGAGTGAACATGGCCTGACGCCCTTCCGCGAGGGGTGCTGGTGCTCCGTGGGAAGTGGCACTGGGCTCACCTCCAGGGTGAATCCAGGGGCACGTTCTCCATCCTTGGGTTATTCTAGTGGGAGGAATGCCCACACACCCCTCAAGGTCCCCTTTCTACAGCCACTGTTAACACCTGTATTCCCTTAAGGAGACCAAAGAGTTTATTTCATGCCAGAAATGAATAAAGTTTCTTTAATTAAAAATAACATTACCAAGGAGACCAACATACTAAAGGACCCTATTCTATTACTTGGGACCCAGGACCATGCCTTGGGAGTGACTAAGGCCACTCAGCCAGAGACTGGGTCCTTCTAACAGACCAAGATGCCGAGCCCTTCGGATGGAGACCTGGACACATGGCTGATCCAGTCGGGGCTTTCCGTTGGTCTGTTTGAGTTGAAGCTGTCAAAGCTTTTGCAGTCAGCCTCAGCAGACTGAAGAGTCCCAACAGCAGAAAGGTGCCAGTGTGACGGGTGGCCTGTGATGTGAGCACAACACGACGGGTCGGCACAGAGCTCGTGACCTGGGCAGCCTCATTCTTCCTTAGGCCGCAGGTTCCAGTCCAGCCAAAACTGTTTCCTTAGCGGTGGGCAGTGACTCCATGGAACCATTTCTGGTCCCAGGAGTGGTGGGGGGACCAGCCATCACCCTATCTGTCCCGTCCATTGAGCTGGAACACAAAGAAGGGAAATCAGTCCTGCAGATCTCAGGGCCTGGGTTTGAACTATCATAAAACAAAAGCTTTTCTGCCTCTGCCTGTGCTGCTGTTGAGCCAAAGTAACATGATGCCAGCAGGGCTGGGCAAAACTGGGTGGCTAAATGGAGGGCTTCATTTAAGTAACCATGTGAAATGTTCTGGAGCTCACGTGCTCAAGATTAGGCACTCTTTGGCAAAGCAACCCAAACTGGACTGCAGCCCGTCCCTTGACGTTTACTCTTGGATGGCACCTCTTTTTAAATACATAAACCCCTAAGACCAGGACCCACCTTACATAGATTTCTGTAAGACCAGAAAATGCACAGGTCAAATCCCCGGGGCCACGTGACTTAGTGTTGTTCCTGTATGGCAGTGGGACGCCAGAGCCAGGAAGCGGCCAGGCGGGTCTGACCAGGGCATCTACCCTCCTCTCAGCGTGTGAGGTACACGCTTCAGTGCTACCTGCACTCTCTGCTTCCCTCAAACGACCGAGCAGCATAACTGGCATTTCAATTGAGAGGACGAGTGACGCCAGCCTACATGTTAGCCATTAGAGCCAAACTCTGGAGTGGAAGGCTAGAAAAAACGTGGCCATGATGTCCACTGCGTGTGGAAACAAAGCGTGAAGTCTCCTATCCTTAATAAGCCTTATTCTTCTCTCTTGGGTTCAACTTGGTAAGAAACCAGCTGCTTGGGGCCACTGCCAGTGGAGGTGAGGGGAAGGCCTGACCCACGGCCCTGAGCCCTGAGGCAGTCACAGCTGAAGAGTAAGGCTGTCCCCAGACCTCTGCCCCGTCCCCTTTGGGCACTGTCACATGATTGTCCCTGTGAGACAAACGGACTTCAAATGCTTAATGCTGCCTCCTTTAGAAAACAACCTCTCACATCAAGGCTACACATGCTGATTCTTATGGGAAACTGCATTTTCTGTAAGTTCACTTGTTACAGGTCGGAAACCTGGAAGGTACCAAGGGTCTTTGGCTTTCCACCCTCAGCACATTGTCAGGCCAACGGCTCTCACACTGATGATCTCCCGAAAGCCTCCCCGAGGTGGGCTTCATCCCACACCACACAGGCACAGACTTCAGCTCCTCAAACTTCGGCTCAGAGCCGCACCTTGGCCTGGAGCTGTTTGGTGCCGCTTTATTTTAGGGACAAAAGGCAATGCTGCTCTGTGATGCGAGGACAACCCCAGTCCACCGGGACCAAGTCACGGCTCTGCCAGTGGAGAGCAGCCATCTAGCATCCCTTCTTCATGTCCACACGGAGGTGGCCCTGGGCAGCGGCCGGTACGGGATGAACAGCCAGTATTTGCTAGTTCTGTTTTAGCCAGACATGGTTCCACACCAGGTCGGCCCAGACCCCCAAGCAGTGAGGAAGGCAGCCCTGGAGATGACCCTCTCACAGTCCGTACCTTCTCGGCTTCCTGCCGCATGAGGTCCCGCAACTCTTCTGTCCAGCCTAGAAGCTCCACCAGCCTTTCCACGCTGTGAACCATATCCCCCAGCTGGACCACGTCCCTGCTGCGAGGACGCCAAGCAAAGGGCCCCACCAGGTCCCGGTTGATGAGCAGTCGGGGCACCGAGCTCCGCACGGCCTCAGACAAGCTGGCAAAAGGTTCTACCTGAAAAATTGCCCAAAAGTGAGGAGCACAGTGCCCACCCTCTGAGCCCCTCGGGACACAGACTGACAGTAAGACCTCGGGTACAGGGAAAACTCACCACTTATTTCATTTCTTCCCGTCACACTGTCAGCTTAGTCTCCATGCTTGGGTTCCTCCCTTCCCGAGCCTCCCTCCTGCCCGCGTCCCTCTTTCTGCCTCCCACGTGTCTTGGCCTCTGTGGGTCTCTCTGCCCAGGCACATCTGAGCTCCAGCAACTATGCTCCACCTTACCCTCCTCCCAGCAGCATCTGGTTGGGCCACCCACGCTCCCTGGGAGCAAGGACCTGGCCCCACAGAGGGCTCCTGACATGCCCAGCAGAGAGGGTGCCCCACTTTTCCACAGCCCTCACCATCCAGACCTCCAGAGAGTCCTAACTCGGTGACTTTGGCCTTCTTCATGCTGCTTCCAAGTGAAATTTCCATTAGAAATTAGAAACAGATTATTAAATGGTATTGAGACTGGATCATTATCTGGGACGAAAATGCTCAACTCCTGCCTTCATTGAAAAAATTTCAAATGAGTGAAAGGTTTAAATGTAAACAAAATAGTTCTTAAAGAAAGTTTAGGGTTCATAAGTAAAGGTAGGGAAGGACTTTTCAGGCCTGATAGTGAAGTCAGATCAGACAAAGGAAACTCATGACAGGTCTGACTATGTAATACTGTCACATTATCATCTACATAAAAATACTATGCAGAAAAATAATTTTTTAAACTTTATCATCGTAAACAAACTGCAAAAATATTTGCAACATGTGACAAATAGTTTATATTTCTAATTGCTAAACTAATTTATAAACATTTTATTTAATGAATTTATATTGCTAATTTATAGACCAACTAAGAAAATAATTTAATGAAAAATGGACAAGAGATACAAATATGCAATCCAACGAGAACACGGTCATCAATAAACATGAAAAGACGAACTTCACTCTTAATTACAGACATGGTAAATATCCCCTCCCTTTCTCTCTCTCTCACATACACACTTATTTCTTTCTAGCCAATCAGATGGATGAAAACTTAAAGACAGGTAATGTTTGCTGTCAGTGAGGATGTGGGAAAATGGCCCACATCTGTTGGTGGCAATGTAATTAGTGTATCTTTCTGGAAAGCAACTTCTCAATATTTCTTTGCTACAAAAGTACTCACATGAATGTGCAAATGTGTATACATGTGGTTATTCACTACATCATTCTTAATATAAAATCTACTATTTTTGTTGCCCATCAACAATAAATTTTGTCATACATCTGTCATCCCTATCTTAAAACTCTCAGGGCTCAGGGGCACCTGGGTGGCTCAGTCAGTTGAGCATCCAACTCTTAATTTCGGCTCAGGTCACGATCTCACAGTTCATGGGATCGAGCCTCACGTCAGGATCTGCACTGAGCATGGAACCTGTTTGAGATTCTCTCTCTCTCTCTCTCTCTCTCTC